TTCCTTTCCGCAGATGCAAGTTCTCTCAAGCTAATAATACCCTTGTTTACTAGGCTGCTAAGAAGGTAATCAGCTATGCCGAATCAGACGACGATGATCTAGATGTCTCTCCGAGAACTAGACAACGAAGGAAGGGAAAGAAGCCAACGATTCAAAGCGATGATGATGAGGATACCTTTGTTGGTGACTTAGATGGCGCCGATGAGATGATGGTCAGTCTGTCATATTTAGGTCTTGTCAGCAGTAACTTACGAACAATAGATGAAATGGACGATTTTGTTGTCGACGACGATTCTGATGATCCAAGCAAATCTTCCAAAAAGAGAAAGCGTCCAGCATCCACGGCATCATCTCGAAAGCGATCCAACAACTTGCCGCCCCATTCCTCTGTCGATGAAGATGAAGATGAAGATATGCAAATACCAGAAATCTCGACAGCTCAACAATGGAAGTACGATCCAGATAATATTCAACCCCGGCAGGCCAAGTCGTCGAGTATTTCGAGAACCCCAAATTCCAGCGGAAAGAAATTCAAAGAGAAGGCATCCAAAACCGACCCAAATCAAAGATATGAGTGGCTAGCGAATGAACGTGATATTGACCGCAATCCTCCTGGTCATCCTGATTATGATCCTCGTACTCTATTTATTCCGCCAATGGCGTTCAATAACTTCACACCCTTCGAGGCGCAATACTGGAAAGTAAAGCAAAAGTGCTGGGACACCATACTTTTCTTCAAGAAGGGTAAGTTTTACGAATTATACGAAAGAGATGCTACTATTGGACATCAAATATTCGATTTGAAACTCACAGACCGTGTTAATATGTCAATGGTCGGTGTACCAGAAATGTCGTTACAGCATTGGGCAAACCAATTTCTTGCCAAAGGCTACAAAGTCGCTGTTGGTGATCAGAAGGAGTCGGCTCTGGCAAAAGAGATGCGCGAACGAGAAGATAGTACAGGTCTCGCTAGCAAAGGCAAGAAAGCAGATAAAATCATTCATCGAGAGCTATCTTATATTCTTACTGCTGGTACCTTGGTTGAGGGTAGTATGTTACAAGGTGATTCGGCAACATATTGTGTGGCTATCAAAGAGTCCACCACAAATGATGACTTGCCAGCATTTGGTATATCATTTGTCGATACATCAACAGGTCAATTCTTCCTTACCGAGTTTACCGATGATGTAGATCTGACCAAATTTGAGACCTTTGTCGCCCAAACCCGCCCTCAAGAGTTATTACTTGAAAAATCTTGTGTTTCGACCAAGGTGCTCCGTATATTGAAAAACAATACTGGCCCAACAACCATTTGGAATTACTTGAAATCAGAGAAGGAATTTTTGAGCGCCGACAAATCCCGCCGAGAGCTAGATTACGGTGGCTACTTCACTTCAACTGATGGTGGGAAAGAGACTTGGCCCGAGGAGCTTGAAAAGGCTAGAGACAAGGATTTGTTAATATCCGCCTTTGGAGCTCTTTTCCAATACTTGAAAGTCCTTCAGCTTGAGAAACCTCTGCTTACACAAGGCAACTTCGCCTGGTACAATCCTATCCAAAAGGGTACAACTCTTGTGCTTGATGGTCAGACTCTTATCAATCTCGAGATCTTCTCTAACACATTCGATGGGAACTCTGATGGTACTCTCTACACACTCCTCGATCGTTGCACTACACCTTTTGGAAAGCGTTTGTTTCGACAATGGGTGTCGCACCCCCTTTCCGATATCAAGAGGATCAACGAACGTCTTGATGCTGTGGATTTGCTTAATAAAGATGATGAATTAAGTCGTTCATTTAAGTCTTCAACATCTTCGATGCCTGATCTAGAACGTTTGATTTCTCGTATACATGCTGGATCATGCAGACCTGAAGATTTCGTAAAAGTATTGGAGGGGTTTGAACAAATAGAGTACATTCAAAAGGACATCTTAGGCAAATATAGTAGCGGCGATGGCATTTTCAATCGTTTGGTCGCGTCAATACCTGATCTTGCTGAGCCACTGCAATGGTGGAAGAATGCATTTGACCGAAAAAAGGCAAAAGAACACAAAATTCTCGTTCCGGAAAGGGGAGTCGAAGAAGATTTCGATGCGAGTCAAGATCGTATTGAAGAGATCAATCAAGAGCTGGCGTTATTGTTGAAGAAATACCAAAAGAAGTTCGATTCGAAGAAGGTGGAGTTGAGGAGCATTGGCAAAGAAATCCATCAATTGCAAGTACCAGTTTCTATCAAGGTACCAAAAGATTGGAAGGTGACGTCTGCTGCATCTGGTTTTAAGCGTTACTACTTCCCAGAGCTTACCAATATAATCCGAGACCTCCAAGAGACTCAAGAAACACATGGTCAAATTGTCAAGGAAGTGGCAAGCAGATTCTACGCACGTTTCGATGAAGATTATAAAACATGGCTTCAAGCTGTGAAAGTTGTGGCTCAACTTGATTGTCTTGTCAGTCTTGCTGCTGCATCTTCAGCTTTAGGTACTACGTCTTGTAGACCCAAATTTGTCGATTCCGAACGAAGTGTAGTTGAGTTTGAAGAGCTTAGACACCCTTGCGTTCTACCAAACGTTACGGACTTCATTCCCAATGATGTTCAGCTTGGTGGTAAATCGCCTAATATCAATCTTCTCACTGGTGCTAATGCGGCCGGAAAATCCACAATACTTCGAATGGTATGCCTCTTGTTTCTTTGCATAAAATAAGCGTGCTAACAATCAAATTATAGACATGCGTCGCAGTAATAATGGCCCAACTAGGTTGTTACGTACCTGCTAAATCTGCAACTCTTACACCCGTCGACCGTATCATGTCCCGTCTAGGTGCTAATGACAATATCTTCGCCGCCCAATCCACTTTCTTTGTCGAACTTTCAGAAACCAAGAAAATCCTTTCTGAAGCTACACCCCGCTCCCTGGTTATTCTCGATGAACTCGGACGTGGCACTAGTAGCTACGATGGAGTGTCAGTCGCCCAAGCAGTTCTGCACCACGTCGCATCTCATATCGGATGTATCGGGTTCTTCGCCACACATTACCACTCTCTAGCCCTTGAATTTGATTCTCATCCAGAAGTCATCAATAAACGTATGGCAATTGAAGTCGACAATGAATCGAGAAGCGTTCTGTTTTTGTATAAATTAGAAAATGGTGTTGCCGAGGGTAGTTTCGGTATGCATTGTGCGAGCATGTGTGGGATCCCGCGGAAAGTGGTTGATAGAGCAGAAGTGGCGGCGAGAGAATGGGAATTCACTAGTAGGCTTGGAGAGAGTCTGGAGAGGGCTAGGGGGGAGAAGGGGACTTATTTGCCATTGGGTGTTTTGAGTGATGTGGCTTGGTGTTTGAGGGAGGCTGGGGCGAAGGGGAAGGGCCCAGAGACTGAAGACGAAGAGAGGGGAATCAGTGATAGAGGTCTGGATTGTCTTTTGAGAGCAATCGAAGCCATGTGAAAGCAGCTCAGGCGACATAGATACAATGGTGTGCGATCTTTAGCAGAAGACAAATAGGAAGCAGAGTCTTTTGCGTAAGAGTTTAGGCCCCGGCTTATCGCACACCACCTGATTTCGTGACAAAATCCCTGCAAAAAAGTCGTTTTCTCATATAAACTAATTTCTCTAACAATTTATTTAATAATTGAAATAATTGTTTCAAAATTCTATATATAAGAGATTATTATATATAATCTTAAAAATAAAGTAGATTGTTTTTAGTGTTTTTTTGAAAAGAATTGTAGTATTTCAAAGTTGAAAATTTTCAAAATTTATTACATATAATTATTATTATTATTATTATTAGTAATTTTCAACCGGGCCGTATAGGCGAGCCTCCCAGGGGGCATTACGGTTGGGCTAACTGCGGGATGATCTTCTAGTTTACATGATCCCCCTTTCCTAGGGATGGGGTCTCAATACCCTCAGTAGCCTCCCAAGCGATGGCTAGCGCACTTGCGCCTTTGTCTCCGATCCTCTGAGCGCCTCCGTGCGCGCTTTCCGATCTCCTATATAGTATTTGTTTGAAAGCTGCTTTATCCTGTAAGGGTAGCTTTTGTATACATTCTATTGCAACATGGTATGCTGTGTGCTTCAATTTTCTTCCACGTAGCTTTTCTAGATCTATCCCCTCCTACTCCCTGCTTATGTTCGCCTGGATCAATCGATCCCTTTCCTTCTCTCTTTCTATTCTTCTGATAATGTTTTAGGGCATATGCTTTTATAGAAATCTGTTATAGCAATAAATTTAGCGAATTTGGCTGGTGTATGCATTAGCTGTTTCAGTAGTCGTTCTTGAGCTGCTTGATTGCAGGGTGGGTATTTGGGCTTGATATCTGGGGGCCAGGTTTTATAGGTCGCGAGGACTTTGCGGCAATGCACAATGTGCTCGGGGGATTTGAATGCTCCGCATGAGCATTATTACATATAATGAATGCTTTTCCCATACAAAAAAATCGATTTTTTTGAAAATTTTGGAAATTCTAATTTTGAAACCCTACAACTCTTTACAAAAAAATGTTAAAAATAATCTATTCATTTTTCTAAATAATTTCAATAATTATTTATTATACTCCTTAATTTGAATAATTCAATTCATATATTTATTGAAATTTTATGTAGTTAAAAAGTTGAATAAATGAAGCTTTTTGCTGTGTTTTCGCTTAGTGTGCGATAAGCCGGGGCCTAAACTCTTACAATTATTTATTTCCATATATTTTATCAATCTTTGATTATTCTTCTCTTTGAACATTCCCATCCACCTCAGACAATTAGTATTAATTTTCCAGCACTTGAGGTGATGATCATTTGCTACGCTCAAGAAGGATAAAATTGGTATTCAAACTTCGTAGTAATGAAATGGTATGATAACTATACAACCCCAAACCATCCTCCTTCGTCCTCTACTCCCCCTCATGCCCGTATATACAACCTATAGACTTGATCAAACTCTTCGACTGACATTTAAACTTTACGATACCACTATGCATCCATCTCTCAACTTCACACATCATCACCCACGACCACTCCAACCCCCCAATCCATCTCCCTCCCTATCATTCTCACCATGTCTCCACGCCCCTCCTTCATTTTCACCCACGCCCCCCATCGCTGCACCAACCCCGTTCAAATTAACATTCGATCCATCCCCATAAGGCCACGGACTAATCATCGGAAAAAACCAACTCCCATCTTGCTGAAGCAGAGTTTCTTCCTCTTGACAAACCAGATCTTGCGGACTGGCGTGTGGGTTGCTCAATGTATTTGTATATGTTTCCGAGTGATGCGAACTGATATTTTGTTGATGCTGATGTTGATGTTGATCTGAAGATGAAAAGTAGTATCCAGTGGCGGGATGGGATGTATGTGTGTAAGCTTGTGAAGGGTAAGATTGAGATTGGAGTCGAGGATCTATAGGTGAATCATGGTAATCTAAAGAATTGATGTGTTGTTGCTGCTGGTCGAGATCGGAAAGATTGGTAATGAGCTGTACACGAGGACTTGATTCATAAAATGGAGGAGACTGTTGGGGAATTTGTGCCGCTTGCTGTATAATGTAATTTTGTTGTATAGATGTAGGAATACGCTCTGGTATATAATTCGTTGAGTTGGATTCGAATGAGTGTATGCGTGTTGGAATATTGGACCGTGGTGCTTGTGCTGGAGAAAAAGGAGAAGCTTGAATATTTGCCGAATTTACAGGTGATGTCGGAGATCGTGGATCTTGAATCTAGAAACAATATTAGCTCCAGAACCATTAAAATCAGGGCACCATTCATACCTCAGAGACTGTCTTGCGACTTTCTAACTCCTCTGTTCTGTAATCCTCATCATCCGAGTCATCACTTTCTGTATTCGGTTCCTCAGTATTACTGCATTTAGCTCGTGATCTCTTAGTGTTTTTCGGAGCTCTACGTTGTGCCTTGTTAACATGTTCCATAGCGACACGGTTGATTTCTTGAAAAATCGGTATTAATGGGTGACTCTCCGCTGCACCTTGATCTTCAAAGCTGGACAGAAATGACACTACATCATTCATTAATTGAAGATCAGACTGTACTTGTGGATCAAGAGGATGTTGAAGAATATTTGCAAAAAGAGTAACACATGCTGCAAGTGCATTGTAAATAGACATGCTAAGAATTATATGTTAGTGTGAGATAGATCCAGCCATATTTTTACACATACCGTAGAACATTTCCTTCAATAGGATTTGAGAGTTTTGTACAATCCTCCAATAGATTGATCGTCCTCCTTGCTGCATTGACACATATCGCAGCGCTGGCATATACTCGTGGATTTAATTTAGAGTCGAAGTCATCTTTGGATTTATCGCCATCATCATCCAAGGAGCCTGGGCCACTATATAATGATGCTCGGTGAATGGTACTAAGACACTGGTAATAACCCCATTGCATACAAACAACTGAGACTATATGATGTTCGTCGCATCTTATAGGGTTACCCGGTCGAACTTCAATTGGAATCGTCTCACACCATTGCTGAAGTTCATCATCCAGCATTCCAACCATTTTCAGTCTCTCCGTTTTGGATTTTGTAAACGATTCTGCAGAGTATAGTCTATTGTATATTCGACCTTGAAGTAACGATAAAGTAGCATTATGCCGGAATGTAACAAATCTTCCGTCGGCGTTCTTCGGATATTGACTTGCAGGTGGTAAGTCAACCCCAATATCTTCATCATGAATTACTGATGGGCGACCTTGACGAATCACTATGCCACGTTCAATCATGACAGCAATCCAGAAAACGTTGCGTCTTTGCTCTATTTCAGCCTCATCAAGACCGGAATTGGACATGTTACGATGGAGGCCAATGGTTTGTGCAAGTCGAAGCGCTGCTGCAGATACAACAGAAGATGGATACGGATCTGACAGTGTGTCTAGAATGAATGCCTAATATGAGGTTAATATGCTCCATAATGAATGATGATAGAGAGAGAATTACTAGTCCAGCCATTGCCTGTACAGCCGTGAGAGAAGGTGGTCCAAATTGCAAATCAACAAAAGTACTAGCTGCGTTCCGAAGCCATCTCCACCAAGTCAGGTTTTCCGGTTCTCCATGACCAGGAGACTTTGCATTTTGAGGTGTTGGAGGTGAATTTCCAGGCAATTCTTCTTTGCGCATGATCGCAGCAAGAGCAAAGCAGACATTGAGGCATGCATACCAAGCAGGATCTTCTGAACATTTGACCGGATATTGGCGTGAGTAACGTTCCATGAAAGTCTTTCGCTCAAATAGGGGCCATGAGATCATCATTCTATCAAAAATAACTGAGAACACGAGTTACTTTGTGTTGATAAGAAATGAGGGATAAACTTACATTCCAAAATCTTATCTGCAACCTCCTTGGGTGGAAGCGATTTGTGTTCATCATCAGGCATCGTATGCCATATTGATGAGGAGACGGAGTATTGATTCATTGTTGTATAGTTTGTAGAAGCCATGAAATTTGCAAAATCGTTATTCCCAGTCATTCTGGTGATAAGTTGAAGGCCTTCTGGTGAAAGCATGGAAAATCCAGAAGCAGCACCTGATAATTTTTAATAAGAGCAATTTATCGGGAAATGTGATCTAGACTTGCCCCTAAAATTTTCACTTCCCGTATTACTTATGGTGAGTGCAGAGAACTTTTTCAAACATCCCGGCTTGATCGGTTATCTCCTCTGATGTCTGTCTTTCAAAGCCAGAGGCATCGATACTGAGCCCTGAAGTTGTCATAGCATGCTCCATACGTTTCAGCCTATCTTCTAAGAGAGAGATATGATTACCCCTAAAATCAGTTAGATGTGTTGATTACGATTGGGATTACCTCATACTTCTTTCTCTCTCTCTTTTTCCGCTCCTTGGTCGTGACTGTGCACTCTATCTCTCGTCTATGGCAGCGATTGCATTTTCCTTCCTGGTCCCATTCGCATCTGATCTGATGATCATCAGTAAGTTGTGGAAAACAAGGCGACTTTGATCATGTATACCTTCATTCGTTTGCATGCATCACATGCAGTTCCTATGTTCCAATCAGCTGACTCCGCTCGAAGTACGTAATGAATAGACTATTAATGAAGACGAACGGTGTCTGGGTGTTCTACAATCCATGTCAAATGGAAGCTCCAAGAGCGGCAGATCAACTCTAGGGATCTTTCAAATCTCAGGTTTAGTTTTGTGTTAGAATGATGTTGACCCCTTTCGAATCGGCTGATTCGAAAAGTTGCGAAAAGACCGAGCAATAAGGAAAGAATGCCGAAAAATAAAGAATATATGGGTAAATTTGTGGGTAGATGTAGACCCTTTATTGTAATTTCCACTCGAGCTAAGTAAAGGAAGATATCGACGGCAGTAGAGAGAGGTCATGGATGTCATCAAAAGCACTCGGATAGACTTCTTTACCTTATCCGAGCTTCTTCTAATATTCAACGTCTTTCTAGACACCTCCACTTGAGGCTGAGTAGAGGCTCAATTTGACACCCTCTCGAAGTTTAAAGATGAAGCGGCAGTAGCCTTACTGGCTGGCGAGCTAACATTTAGGGAAAGCAAAATAGATTGGTACAAGGGGGTATGTAGAATTGAAGGGCCTTATTGTTGGATATTATACTCTGTACAAAATCGAATTTCACTAACAAGTCTTTTCATCTTGGTTTGGGGATCAAATAAAGTTTTTCCCTATCAAATTCCAAATGGGGAACTGAACTAAAAAGCTAACACGTTCCAGTTGTCATAAGCGAACCACTACGCAAATAGGCTGGTAGGATGGAATTACTAGGACTGTAGATTGATACAGGGGTAGGTACTTTATCGAAGGGCTCGGTTCTCTTTTCTTCAACACAATATAGGAATGAGTGTAGGGATTTATTCAAGTTCCTGTGCTCGAGTAGATATATAGATAGATGGTTGGAAGGATAGCTTTAGTCTTCGAGGAATTTAGGAATTACTATTACTCGGACATCTCAATTCAAGTATCTCTCTGCCAAATGGGATGATATAATATGTATGTATATCGAATCTCATAGAGCTTATTACATTCATCGATATCTGTGTGGATATTTCGTTGTACGTGTACCTATTAGCTTGTAGATCAAATATAAACCAGAAATAAACTTCATCAAACTTAGTTAAAGAACCACTAGATTACCACCGATGGCGACGGAGTAGAACGACTTGAGAATAAGAATAAAGATCGAGGCTCAGATCGTTGACTATATAGGTACCCAAGGACTTTCTCTACACACCATAAGCCTTGGAGATGAATATCACATCGGGGAAACGTACCGCTACACTGAAGAAACCCAACGGCTGGAAACTTTACACCCCGATCCCCTTTTCACACCCATCAATGTAATCCTGAAACGGGAATCGGGAGCGGAGAACATCCATATCTCTTTTCAAGTACCGGCATGCATTAATAATAAGTCCTCTCAAGTTCCCAATCCAGTCCAGTCCAAGACTCCAAAGTCCAAGTTTCAAGGATCGTGCGCAGCCTTGTGGATCTCGAACTTCCCGGAACCAGGTGTTCAGTCCCTCGTACTCGCATCAGGTACTTGCCGCGCACCTTATCTCCCCGAGCTCCCAAACCTCCAAGTACGGAGCAATGGTTTCGGCACCGAGGATTGATAATCGTTCATAATTGGAGTTGATTTTAATGGATTTCCTTTGCTCGTTAGATTGGGTATACGTACTGCAACCGTTAATAGCCCGGCATTTATCTATAATAATAAATGAAGAGGAAATAATCACGAGCTCTCATCGTGGACGGAAAAACTAGACACTAGAGATATATCACATCTCCAAAACTCTTTATTAACTCAAATTATTAGTGTTTTATGTGTAAATTATACAGAAACATTAGAAAATTTTACAAATTATGATCCATCCCTGCTTTATCAATTATTAATATGTTTTTGATTTGTTATTCAATTTCAAAATAACAGTTTGGTTTTACAAGATTTTCGATTTTAGCGAATCTGGTGTGCTTAATGTTTCCGTCCACGGTGAGCCTACCAAGCCGGCGAGGAGAGTGCACAGTACAGTACGCGTTTCGATTCCACAAGTGGTATTCACTCGTGTCACAACACCCCTGATATCAAAAGATAGATACTCGTGCGTACTGTCAGAAAAGACCTATGCAGCTTTGTTTCTGAGAAAAATTGGCAAGTCCTCTTATAGTTTATCATCTAGCCCCGGAGTCTGCATACTTTCTGGGGGTACAAGTAACAATTCCACAACAAACTTGTTTGTCGTATTCCTATTTCTATCGATCCAGAAGGAGTCCACTCCGTAAGCAGATATCTACGGACCGAGTAATTATATTAAACTTTATTAAACTTGTCCATCACCCATGCCCGGGGGAGCATCAAAAACGCTTTTGTCACTATCTATAACGAGAGTAACAACAATCAATAAGTTCGACTCCCCTGCTTCTTTAGCAACTCATATCTTGGTAATATCCCTATACTACCCGGGGTCATCGATACGCCCTCTCCCATTTCCTGATAAAACACATCAGCTCCATTTGCACACTTACCAACCACCATCTAAGAAATATATGCCCAGCAAATTAACACTACTATTTCAGTTACATAGCACCAAGCAAACGCCATTTATGCCCGTGTCCGTGTCCGTGCCTGTTTTCAAACCTATATCCGTAAATAAGAAATTCCCCATTCCACCCTGCACGATATCTCCAGAGCTGCTCACTGCACAAAGTTCCCCATCCACCTACTCCTCATCCTGCACCAATTCCTTAATCTCCCCACCCGCATCTCCACCTCCCAATCCCCCGCCATTTGCCGCCCCTCCGTCGGCGAACTGTAAATCCCTCTTTTTACCCTTCCCACTATCCCCTCCATCTCTAATCCAGAAATCAACTTCGTCAACAATATCATAAAGAATGTCTTCTACTATTTGCTCATCGTATCGATCGCTCGCTGCTCTAATTTTGGGTAGAGAGGGTTCATCATTCACCATGTCCACATCATCTTCTGCGCTCGAACCTGGTGGAGGATACCACCATTGAGGACCGAAATTAACTTCCGCTGCACCGCCGCGGAAGACTGACACGGCGGGGAAATAACCGAGCATCCCATCATCAAGACCTTCTCTGGCCCCAACTTGAGGTTGTGGTTTCGAGGCGTGTGGGAGGAAGGATAAGAGATCCGTAAATGGTGTTCCGATCAGCTTTCCATTTTTGTATACTTTAATAGATGAGTGTGGAAGAGTGCGGAGAGCTGGTACAGGATGAGTTGGCCCAGGATCTTGACTTGCAGATGCGACACCCCCAGTCGATGATATGACTGGTGATGGGTTCATGAGTTCTTCTAGCTCTTTGCATGTGGAATATTCGATTTGTTCAAAGTAGAGGTGAGTCTTGAATCGAATAGGTACTCGATCTCGTATCATATCTGCTCGTTCCATTCCGCCATCATCTTCATCAGTGAGGTCGACTGCCGGGTTATAATTCCCTTCGACGACTTTCCGATGTAATTTTTCCGAAGGTAGATTGATCTCTAGCCCAATAACATCTCCTTCATAAATAGATTCTCCTGCAGGGAAAAAGTCCTTGGGTCGAGACATCCATACTTTTTGTCCAGCTACATCCCGGATACCATAACTATAAGCATCGAATCCAACTGGCGCATCTTGAGCTGCTTCTCTTCTTGCGAAACCCATACGAACATGTCCATGCGACTCTTGCGCTGGCTCTCCTACTTTAGGCCTTGGCACACCACTTGTGATTTTACATTCCCAATACCAACGACCTTCCCTTATCCCCACATTAGCCTTCGCCATTCTGAAGCCCTTATCTGTTGTAATATGTCTCGCCGATTCATCCATCATCATATGGGGAGCTGAATCTTCGAAACTTAATCGAGCACCAAAAGGTTCCGTTTCGGTTTGTCGATAGTAAAGAATGGAAGGAAAAGCTGGGTCTGCTATGCCACGGGTATATCGAAAGTTCTTCTTGTTGTATACGCTACATATATATATAAGCTTATATCTTTATACATTATGTGCCGTAAAACTTACTGATCAGTAGTCTCATGGAATTGAATTTCAGTACCATCTGGGGCGGTTTTGGTATGCGAAGGAACGAGAGTCGGTCCACGAGGAGCTTCGAAATCTGGTAATTTCGGTGGAGGTATCTTGTATCGTAGAGGGGTAACGCAATTAATTATGGCTTTCTTTCTATTTGAAGAGCTTGATCTTGGATCTGGAGTAGCTCTTGCACTTCCTTCTGGCGCAAGCGATCCTGCCTTCGATTCTCTCTTCTTCAACGATTCCTTTTTAGCCCTTGATGCTCGTTCGCGAATGCCACCAGGTGTCTCATCTCCAGTCTTTTGAACTTTGAATTCTGGATTAAGAGGTGATGATACTGCAGGTTGATGATCATCTTCTAAGGCGCGCTTTTGCGCAAATGCTGATACTGGTGGAAGGATTGGTGTATTTGCTGAAGATATAGAGCCTCTTCGTGGCGATTGTCCGTCGACTGACATTTTGTTATTTTACGATCAAGAACTGTGGTATGGCAAGACAAATAAAAATGAAATATGTCTAAATAGGTAGGAATAAATTGCTGAGTTTGTGAATCTAGAAATCTTGGAGCTACACGGATCTGATTATGCTTGGACCATCAACGCTAAATTTTGTACCCCACACCAAAGGCTAAATCCCTGATCCCCTCGAAGGGCCAAGTCACAAAGGTACAATTCAAAGCAGGCGTGCATGTGATGGACGATATAATACCTAGATCACTAACTCAACGGCCTGAGGAATGGTTTGATGCTACGTTCGACTGTCAAATTTGAGATCTGTATATTGAAGAATGTTATACGGCACTATAGTCATGTAATATGCTTCATATGAGGTACTCAAAACGTCAATTGATTGTCAACTCTTAAGTGCTTTGAGACTTATAAGCCGACCATTAACATTAAGTAGACTGCTTTCGCTGTTGCTATTCAGCAAGCTATTGCTTGCCGCCACCACTGAATATGAAAGTTGATATCCTCGAATGAAACCTACTCTCACTTCTTGGGTAAGTTGTAACGTTCTCACAACGTTACTATACTATTATTTCTCGCAAATAGTAGGCCTCTTCGAGAAATAATCTTCATAAGCCCCATATTAGATAACATAAAGTGTGAACCCCTCGCAATATCCGCGCATCAAAGTCTCATAACCCTGTATCAGACAACATAGCCCCAAATCCTCAAGCATGAACAGACGCAGCTGAGAATCGCAATATCCGGAAATGATTCAGATTTTGTGGATCTCATTCCTCTTCGTCATCGCCATCGTCATCACCATCTTCATCCACATCCTCATCCCAAAACCCCTCCTCGTCTTCGCTAAATGGATCCGGGACATATTTGAGTGGTTTGGCATTCTTTAGGATTCTGGTAGACTTTCTTGTTGAAGCGGAAGGTAAGTGAGCAACGACCTTTAGATGTGGTTAGAAAGATGCTCAGGAGAATATACTGACAGGATCAGGGACTTACCACAGGTGATGCTACTGGCGTTGTAAGCTTATCATTCAAGAATTTCTCGAAAGCTTTGAAATCTACGTCGGTCAAACCACTAGCATCGGTGAAAGTCCAGTGCTTCGTAACAATGACCTTTTTAAGGTCATGCAGACTAACGAGTTTATCGAAACCATTGCTTCTACTGAACTTTTGAACGACGGCAGGAACGGTGGGGTCGTTCTGATACATATGCTGTGGCTTACGATTGTACCATGCGCGGTGACCATCTACACAAGATCCCCACAATACAAGATGCAGAGTATCGATATGTTCGCAAGAGGCAAGCATTCCGAGAATGAGCATATCCTTAGATTGACCAGAACCACTACCAGACCATTCGTATTTGAAATTACGGGCATTCTGGATTAAAATATCCTTAACCTCTCTGAGGCGCTTTATGCTGCAGGCATTGAGGTCGAAAGTATTCTTCCACAAGAACTGCATGCACTCTGCATTGATAGAGCGACAGGAGGCAAGAAGGCCAAGGGCAACACCTGGTAATTTGAAACTGTTGCAGGAGGCATAGCCGGGGCGTAAACCACTTTCTGAAATTAGTGCATACTCGTAAATTTTGTATCGCAGCTCTATAGGGAGCTTCTTGAATCGGAAGACCTTTCCACCTGTAGTGAAAACGTTAACTCTGCCCGAGTGCATTGATTGTCTTCGAACGCGAAGTCAAATACATACTCGCGGTAAAGATAGCTCTATCCAGCTTTAATGAAACATCTTTTATCGACTTCTGGCTCGCTTTGAAAACCTCGACGCTTTCCGGAGAGGAAGCCATTCTCGCCTCATTTTCTTCTGAGCAGATGTCTTCGAATGCAGCATCATTGAGATTCACAGCTTCATATTTGCCATTGCCAAGTCTGCGCATCATCCACAACCCATCTTCGATATCGTTACTTTCCAAAATCACAGTCTTATAAATTCGATCAACCGGATTCGTTACAATAGACTTGGCCGCCTCTGGCTCAGGAGTGATCTTCTTGGCAATGGTGGTATTCTTCTTTTTGGTTGATGCCTTCGATTTCGGCTTTGTAACTCTGTTCGCAGCCTTTCGTACAGGGCGAGATGATGGCTTCATGTTGAACTAGTTCTTGTAAGTAGCATTAGCAAAAACTCACATGACCCTAGCAGGTAAATTTGGAAAATAAAATCCTGCAAAGCAATAACTAGAGTTTTGGCACAAAGATGATTTTAAAGACCTGAATAGGACAAGGGATTTGGAGGAAGACAATAATACTTACAAGTTTTCCAGACACCTAGGTTTCGAGAAGGTAGTTGTAAAAGAGGTAGATGTTGTTAGATGTTGAGTTTTCAGGTAAGTTTTACAAAAGAAAAGCGCTCTATGGTAAAATTAAATAAATTTAGAAGAAGGGTGACGCGAAATGAATAAAGTCTAACCTGCCTAAAAATTTAGCGCGCTGTAGTGAATTTGCTAAGCTAGACAGAAAAAAGCGTGATTGGGAGTCGGTTGCATCTATCCTTCGAACAGTACCTAATAAGTAATAGGTACTACTAGGTAGGTAGTAGGTAGGCAGTACAAGAGAAGGAAGGAGCGTACCTAGTCAATTCACCTGGGTAGGTTGATCTGTCTCTTCCCATAAAGCCCACTTCTCCAAAAGGCTGAGAAATATACGGATGTCTATTCCTTTATATAACTTGAACTGGTCGTTTTAGTCATCAATCCAAAACGAGGAAGGAGGGAAGAGGGAAGAAGAGGCGGGAAGGGCTCCAATTGGCTTTTTTATATTCAATCTCTGTTAAAAGTTGAATAAAAAGATAACCAATTCTGTTCCAAAAGTGATAATTGATAAAGACAACGTTGAGCGTCTCTCACCACACTCCGCTCATCCCTATTCTCACTTCATCAACCCTCCTCTGAGATTCACTCTTCTCCAAAGACTAAAATTGTTGACCAAATCTATCAATATAAAATCGACCAATTCGGGGGTTTCACTAATAGCTTCGGTACGAGAGAGGTAGAGCCTCGTCGGACGTCGTAAAATGGCAGGAGCGGACACTGGAGGCGAAAGAGCGGGGAGGTATAACTACATGTGAGAGAGAGGGAGTTGGAATATTCTTTTTTTGGGAGCCTTAAATCGGCTGTTTAGTTGATATACTTATGAGTTTACTCCTTCACAGATACCTCAGCTCAAGTTATCTAGTACATCAAAGGTGAGCAGAAACAAAGGAATATTCATTTCATTACTACAAACATGAATATATGAGCCTTGATGAAAATATGGGTATACTTTTTGTTTGTAAATTTATCATCATTCTCTTCTCTTCTCCCAGATGCATTACCACATACTCCGATTTCGCAGTTCTTTTAATACACAAGACCACTATTTCTATATCAGTACAAGGCACTTATATCATGATTCATGGAAAGCAGAAACTTACACTTGATGAATAGCAGTTGGTCCTTCTTCGTTGAAATCCACTCGTGACAAGAACCCCTTGGATAGACCCTGATCTACAACAAAAATGACCTTGGCAGCTACCTGAGATCCTAGGAACACGGCCTCTTCATAAGTCTTCCACTCTGGGAAGTATCCTGGGGGAGTGGCGAGTTTAATGCTAGTGGGTGACTGAGAGTGTGATGAATGCTGAGCATTTGCACCGCTGTTGAACGAAGATATATTGGGGTTGAGTGCAGGATTGGACGCGGTAGTCGCTGCGAGGAGTAAGGGATTCACTGCGTTGGCTGAGGGTACTGGGTGTGGTGTCGAGGAGAAGGAAGCATTTGGTGTCATGGAACCTGTGCCGGATGGCGTTGGTAGATTAGAAGGGAGTTCACTCATAAACATGGTTGCAGAGCTTGGCGAAATAAGGTATCGGCTATTGAGGATTGCAATGAGCGCATCTTTAAAGCCTCTGACCTTTGATCCTGATCCACAGATAATCAAAGAATCCCAAGCATCTTGACGTTTGGAAATGTCGTCGACGGAGAGGATGGTTCTGTAAACAGTATCGGCAATAGCGTCCATGTAACTCTCACTGGCTGCTTGGAATCTCTCTAAGCCGATGTCAATATCTCTTCTCATGCGGTCCGGATGCTCATCTTCCCAAGCTTTCTGTCTGCGTGCTGTCTTTGCTTGCTCACGAGCTGCAGTTTCATCTACCGCAACAGCGGCGTCGGTACCTGACGTAGCCTCAACGGGAGCATCGGTGGATGTGCCGTTTGGAGATGGTACACCCTCATGATTCGCTGCGGTCACTGGCTCGGGTGTCTTTTGGCGTTTTGCATCCGGCTCAGGAAGTGATGATTCGTAGTGGAACGTGGCGCGAGGTCTCTTCGAATTTGGTAATCTCACTGGCTTAGCTGCTGCCGCCTCCGCTGCTTCTTTGTCCTTCTGAGCCTTCTTAGAAGCTTTTCCAGCTTTCTCCTTTTCGATCTTTGCGAGATATTCTTGAGTTTTCCCACTTGCCACAATACTGGCAACGTCTAAAACACCATCATCTTCTGTAACATCGACACCATTGATGGTATCTTCTTCTCCCACCTCGGTATTTAGTCCTGGTCCACGAGGTGCTTCTGCAACCTTAACATTCGGTCCAGATGATGGGGCGCCAGTGGAAGCTGCAGCGGCAGGGTTGCTTACGACTTCTACGTTCTCCTCACCGCCCGGTAGAGGAGTCCCCAGGGGTAATATTTCGCATATTGCACTCTTCTTCAACTGTTCTGCCATATCCCTTGTAAAGTCCTTCGACTTGAGTAACTCTTGCAAGCGTAATGTCATTGCCTCTCCACCCGACTGTGGTATGTTTCCTCTGCCAGATATTTGGAAGTCCGTAACAGCAGTAATGTCAACCTTTTCAAACCCTACATCAATGACTGTTGAGTTTGCGATTCCAAATGCATATGAAGTTGCCAATGCGCTGTCCATAATACAAAGCGCCGGAGTTCTGAACTTTTCAAATATGAATTGAGTGAGGTCTTCATGATTCTTGGCTGTCCAGGCAGGTTGCGCGATTAACATTACAGGTGTGTGAAGAGTTGGCGATAATTGATTGTGAACGTGATGTAAAAAAGCGCAAAAGGCTGGAAGATTCTCGATTCGACCCTCTACATTGTATCAGTATGTGTAAGACCTGCAAGCAAACAGATAAACAAACCTTTCAATGGCCAAATAGCGCCTTCATCATCCTCAGGGACTTCCTCTAATTCTTCTTCCTCATCTACCTTATCTTCTTTGATTCCACCCATCTCGGTATCGCCATTTGTTGTAGCTGAGGCGTCTTTCTTTTTTGGTCGAATTTTGTATGGCTCGTAGGTTTTTCCATCAGGAGCGAGAAACATACGAGTGGGAAATCTTCGTTGTGGTGGTGTAAAGGATTCAGGAAGACCTAGTTGAGCAAGAGTTGTTTGTGAGCCAGGCGCAATGATGAGAATGTGCTCATCCTTGAAGGGTGGCATTTTTGCGAATTATTGTTGGTTAGTTCGGATTATATGTGGTAGTAATTCCCGTCGGGTTATTGGCGTGATAAATAATCGTAGTGACTTAGCAGCTGGACTTGACAAAAAATTGAATGCAGCCCAAAGTTCACTTTGTTGATCTAGAATTGAGGTTGTTCAGATGGAGACGCGACAAGTTCAATTTAGTGGGTCCGAGCTTCATACAAGGCTGTTGGTAAGGTTATCTAATCACATGAACTTTGGCGCTAGTTTAATCATAGATTACAAAATCAATGCCAGTCTCATCTCATCAACACATCACAAAGGGAACCATAACCTAGACTATACCTACCGTACTCAATATACCATCTATACCATCTCGAGTTACTCCATGGAAGCGGCACAAGATATTCACTAATACTGTCGTGTACATATCTGTCTCTCCATGTCTCAACTACCTACCTAGGTTACTTCATAGGCTGGAAGATTCATCCACTGCAGGCGTTTGTACCGTTCGTGTTGTATACATCGCACCTATTCTCACTACTTTACACACTTTTAGTTTCTTTCCCCTCGCCTCTTCTCGCTTCACGCCTCACAGCATATGCGGAATTGGTGGATCAGGATTCTGCTAAATGTAGCATTCTTATAGGTCCGCTCGGTAAGACCTAGACTAGATTCGGCCAAGACACATTTCTTCGGAAATCTCAACAGGGGAAATTCACGAGCATGACAATCACCTGTATTCGTATGTGTTCAAGATAGTCTTGTTGCACGTCTAAATTTTGGCCCTTCTCCGAGCTGTCTGAAGTTTCAGAGGAGAAAGGAGAGGTCCGGAGATTCCATGACACTACGTACTTTTGATCATTTAGGGTGAGACGTGGCAAGATTTTGAGCACGAGCTGATCAATCATAAAACTCTCATTGATATTGTTGCACGTCTGAACTCAGGAAGATTTCCGCGCATTTCACACACGAGTGCTGAGGAAGTGTGAGCTTGGGACTATATCTGGATTTGTTGCATATCTAGATTATGAACAATCTCCGGGCAGTACGCAAACCTTGGCTGGAGAAGTTTCCGGTGACAACTTCGTAGTTATGTTGCACGTCTAGATTTTGAACAATCTCCGGGACAGGCCACATATCAGAGGTGTGAAGTCAAACAAACTAGAATGCATGGAATTGCGTGCAAGGGAGTTAAAATATAGTCGTCCGACCCAGACTTGTGATATTTATTTGCCTTACGTGGAAGTCAGCCAGAACGAATCGGTCTAATCACTTATTGCACTTCTGATAGCTTCCAGTATTAGATATCGTGTTGTCTCTCTTTCTTGACCTCTTCATCTCTCATTTCACAACGCTGTTAAAGATTCAAGTCGTTGACACCAGCTGGCTGGTTGTACTCCCGTGGCCATCACCTTTGTTTTACTCGCCAGTCATTCTTCTCTTACCCAACGCATTAAATTGCATTTATATAAGCGCTAGTTATAAATCTACCATAGGTCTCATCTCATACATTTCCAAATTACTTTCAGAAATAATACTATATGTCCTGTTGAAAGAATCTACTTTCCTCAATCTCGATATTGCTCACGTATACTTATGGGTTCTCACATTCAGTACGTTCTGGAAGATCTTCAATAATGATTCTTGCCCCGAAGTGAAAGGTTAAGATAAACTCTTTGAGTTTGGGAGTTCAAGCTATTGCTGAACAACATCCGCCATGGAGAGAGAGCAGATATTCAAACCCGACAGAAACCCCCATAACCTACGTAAGTTTATCAACCTCCTCCTTGTAATCCTCCAAAACCATCTTCCTACTAATAGTCCCCTTGGCCGTCCTAGCTAATGGCTTTCGTGGATCCACAAATAAGATGCGCTTCTTTTCAACAAAGGCATTCGTTCTGTAGTACGAATTTGTCTTTTCAACAATCGGCCAAAGTTCTTTTATCAAATCATCCTTCTGTTCAGTAGATAACACTTTAGAAGCAGGTTCGATAAGGAGAGTAATACACGTGATATAGTTCTCTAAGCCGATCTTCTGGACAGGGAGTACAACAGCTTCTTTGATACCCGTACAGTCAAGGACCGCATGTTCCATGATTGATGGATTTGCGATTTGGCCATTGGAAAGAGGAATCATATCATCTGATCTCATTTTATAGATCCAGAGATCTGGTTCACTGGGATGAGGAGAATATAGATCCTTTGTTCTAAATTCCTGAAGCGTAGGAAAGAGTTTAAAAACTGGTTGTTCATCCTCAGGTTTGGATTCCGCACGATATACGCTTCATGCAGATTTTCTCCTTCAGGATGAAGTCGAAACTGTAATCCAGCAGCTGGATGCGCGTGAAAATATCTCCAATCTTTCGGTTCCCGGTCTCCGATTTCCCGAACCAGGGGGTAGTTTACGAATTCCGTGGATCCGTGAGATGTATATAGATCTAGCTTGGTAGAAACGATATCTCCCAATGCTTGTGCGACATCTCCACCCCCATAACACATTAATCCGACGTGACTTGCGAAGAAATCGAGCAGCTCTGAGTTTTTAGCACAATCGGCTACTAGTGGGGTCCACCAAGAATACCCACGACATCGTTTGTGTGTTTGAGTCCTTCCACTGCAAGAGCCGCGGTGGGAATTGTGGCCGCGGGTGGAAAAATGTAGGTTGTCTGATTTGCTATTGCTGCAATCATAACGCAGATAGCTGATGTCTAGAATATTATGAGGTAATTCAATAAGATGATTGTTATAACGTATGATTTTAGGTTGCAAGGAAGGAAGAAACGCACATGAAAAGGGGCGGTAAGCGAAAACACCCTCCCGCCTTCACTCTTTCTATCCAAAGACTCAAATCCCTCTGGAGGCTCTAATTGCAACGCTCGTACATAAGCAGCCGCAAAATCATGATTAGAGATTACTGGTTTTTTGAAGTCCAGTAGTCCCAGATGTATGAAGCGCAACTAATGGTTCCCCTTTAGCCTCTTCAACTATTTTTCCATAGGGAAAATATTCGTAAGCGGTATCGAGCAGCTCCTCGATAGAAGGGATTGTGAGAACACGTAAATAATCGTGAAGCTTCACAACGGGGGCTACAGTTGGAGGTTGGGGAGAGGTGGTTAAGAGCACTTTGCAAGACATGGTAGTGAAGAGATGAGTGGTTGCTGAGGCGGCGAGAAGGGGCGATGTGAGGAGAAGCTATATTTCATCAGTCAGCTTTCAGATTTTGACAACTCCAGCTACCCTCATTGTTTTTGTCTTCTTCTTTTTCCTTGCGATTCCTCACTATGAGCAACCACAGCCTTTTCAACCCCCATAAAAATAGATGAAACCTACTTTGTATCCCGCCTTCACAGCCCCCAAAATAAAAATCACATATCGAAAATCATTCCATCCCATATAACACAATGTCTGAAAATCTTTTCCAGGACCACACTTCTCGGTAAGAAACCTAGCAGCTCCGTTTACCACATTTGCTAACTGAGCATAAGTAATTTTGCGATAGCCTTGTGAGTAATTGATCAGGGATATCTACGAGTAGGCGAGTGAATGTCTATTTGGTACAAGAGGGCAAGAAACCAAAGCTGTAAGAAAAGAGAGATTATGAGCACGAGACGTCCGTACAAAATGGACATCTGTCAAGGAGCCAGGGAATTAGAAATTACAAGTATGACTAACGGGATATCCCCCAAACAACGCATCAGGGCATACACGCGCCCTTTCATCTAGCATGTCAATAAGAAGTCGAGGTTTATAATATCTCCAATATCCTGCTTTAGGACTTGGAAGATTCTCCTCGGAGCTGGTTGATGCCATTGTTCGGAAACATAGAAATTGTAGGTTGCAAGATTTAATTTGTAGAATGGTAGAGAGATAGACAGATTATAATTTATCCTATTACTGACAAGCCCAGATAAAAGAAGAAGTGGAGGAGAAAACTTTCATTCTTGACTTTCTACCCGGGAGATAATCGAGGATATAAGTACGCCAAAATACCAACATCAGCCCAACATGACGATATCCACAGATAACATAAGCCAACAACTGCGTACGTATTCAGATACCAGTTTAAGAACTAAAGCAATAGTGCAAGGTAGCTAAATTTAAAGTGCAGATTAGATTGACGGCTTTGAAAGCAGATGTGCAAAGTAAGTACTCGGAGGTGTGAAAAATTATGGATTGGTAGATAACTGAGAATTCTGAAAAGGTGTGAAGCGAATATTTCTAGAAATCCAAAAATTATTTGGATACATAGAGATGCTAGCCAAAAGGTATCGGAAGTGGAAATTCCTGAATCATTGGGCAAATGAAATATCCGTCAATATATCTACAACTTTATCCTATGTTTCTTTCCCTTTCTCTACCTTGATCATATGACCTGCAGTAACCCAGAACCAACATTTCAATCCACCACAACTCAATCCATTACCCCACCACTCTTCTCTCCCACGCCCTCATTCAACCAAAGCCGCTCCCCCCTCCGGCCCTCCACTCCCCTCCCCTCCTCTCTCAACTCCCACCGTCCAACCCACATCGCCACAACCGCAACCACAAAAATCAGAATCTGCACCACCCGCCCCGCTCTCGCATCCCTACACATCCCATCCGAATACACATCCGAATACCTCACAACCTGACACGTCCAAGCTTCGAAATCGAATCTTCCTTCATGATAGTGTCCACGATAACTGCGTTCCGGATTGTATGTTGCGGATCGGATGTATGAGATGTGGAGATATGTTACTGCGATGAAGGATAATAGTGTATTGAATAACAGAGCCAATCTAAGGATTGAGACAGGAGAGAATTGGTAAGTCTATGGATGATCAGTACTAATTCTGCAAAAAATATAGATCTTTGCGGATCTTACTCGTTTATTCTTGGTCCAGTATCCCGTGGTAAATGCCAGACAATCTGTAGATGTAACGAGAGAGATAATGCTAGATACTGGCGCCAACTTGGAACTGAATGCGTCGAGGTGCTCTGGAAGAACATAGATGCTGAAATCTTTGTAGTCGAAATGGATGGTTTCAGTTACAGCTAATGAGTCCCAGGAATTAGAGATCAAGACCGAAGTATGGAGGATAACAGCAAGAATAGAGAGAAGCAAAAGAATGAAGGTTGACGCCGTGAACACAAGCTGTGAATTCGAATTGAGAATTGTCATTGTTTAGCAAGGGTGGAATTGTCGAGCAATGTCATAAAGGTAAGACGTAGAGAAAATGGAACAGAATTTTAGGACTTGCTGATCAATGCTGTGTCCCTACTTTTGATGTCAAATTTTTGTAAAGAACTTATCCAGAGTGTACAGGCGCATGTGAATCCCCAGATGGTTTTTCATTTTAATGCGAGAGGAATGGTCATTCAGAAACATGGCTGTGGCTACGGTTACAACTGGGGTGTAGTGAATTTCAATGGCAATCAATGAATTTCATATCAATATCGGGGTGAGCCAGTCTACGTGTACCTGTCTAGTCACAGTCATATGTCTGTACGCTGTCATCGTTCAGTTTCAAGGTTTACTTTAATCTATTCAGCTACCTTTTTACATGTGTGAAATCTGCATTTCTTCGAATACCATCACATGGATGAGTGGAATCCTTCAATCTTAATACAACCCTTCTCCAGTGAATCTTCTCAAAACTTAGAGTTCTGTGATCGCAAAGATAAATCCATTACTCAGTCAAGAGGTACTAGATATACATGTATATGAGACATCCAGGCTCAGCTATCACTTCCCACACTCCGGGGGGGGACAGATTAGCAAGTTTTGATGACTAGAAACCAAAACACTGTTCATATGAGTAGAGCACAAAAGAAAATCTGATATGAATTAATTCTCAATGCAGAAATACATCATCAGCTGGCACAAGTGAAGTAGAGTACGTAGGTCTTTTCGTAAATTCGGAAGAATAGATAATTGAAGTTTTCTGGCCTGATTATTTGGGTTTCGGTATTTCTGAAGGCCACAAAGGGAAGAGATTGTTCGAAAGAGAGCTTTCCGTCCACAGGTAGAATGTATGTTCTTGCTATCGAGGAGTATCTTGTGGCATGAACAAGGAAGAATTTTATCAGATCCCTCATACACGACAGCAATATCAAGGTATCTGATAGACGCAAATGGATATCTGATCCAAATCCGACACGGATTGTTGACAACTTAAAATACAGCGCAAGGCCCATACATGAATTTCTCGATTGGAGGTCTTCTCCCGGAAAGAATGCATTTCTATCAGCACTGCTTTCTCGATCAGTCTCCATACTCTTACCTACTTACTATTACAAACTATGTCAAAGAATTTATCAAAGTTCAATCTAGAGGTGCGAGGTAGTAATGCTACAGCCTGAAAGCACGCGTAAGAATTCAAATTCACGTAGAACAAAGTATTATTTTATTAACTGTCCTGTTTTATGATTTTGCTTAGAATTGAAAATTGAAACCCCATATTTTATGCATCCATACCAGGCAGGAAATCCTTGTTCCAATGCAAGGCCAATCCCGCCCCCAAGGCAACTCCGGCCTAAGTATAGGCATACAAATTTAACATAATAGGCAGAGAGCCCTTGTGCAAAGCAAGGCCTTCCCTACCCACATATGTCATCGGATAGAGGACAAATAGAAGCAGATTGCTAGAAACATTTGAAATGTCAATAACATGAAAGTGTAGGATAGTTATCGAAATCAAAACCTATCACGACTTGTGAAGATGATTTAATTCCATCCGTTATCACCGGAAGCTGGAGCTCCCCAAGCATCATCAGCTGCAGCAGCTTCAGTGGTTTCAGCGGCACCCCAACCACCACCAGTAGCAGCATCTTCTGTTCCCCAGGCACCACCTTCAGCACCACCTTCAGCATTCTCGCCACCTTCCTCTTCATCATCTGAATCATCATCAAAATTGAGAGTTGCGACATCACCGGTTTGGCCGTCCATGGTAAAACCTTCAGGAAGATAAGCCTCAAGGAAGTCAGGAACTGCTTGGCGAGTTTCCAACAATGTCTTGACCAAAGCTTCAGCAATATCCTCATTACGATCATTATAGAACGAGCTTGCAAGACCCATGTTGCCAATGCGACCGGTACGACCTGATCATTAAACGGTTAGCCAGCTGCAAGATTAAGTTGAGGTAAAAATGTGCTTACCAATTCGATGAGTATACTCTTCAATACCGCCATGATCATTGGATGGCAAATCAAAGTTGATGACATGCATCACATTATGTACGTCAAGACTGGAGTCTGTGTTAGCCGATAAACTTGGATGACGTGCACATCATTGCATGAGAAATGAGGAACGGTGTGTTAAACATACCCACGGGCAGAAACGCCAGTAGCGATCAAGATAGGCATCTTTCCATTGCGGAAAGCACGAATAGAGTCTTCACGCTCACGTTGAGTACGATCGCTGTGAATGGATGTACAAGGAAGATCGTTGTTGAACAAGAAATCATCGATTTCGTCAGCAGCACGCTTTGTGTTGACGAAGACGATGGTACGAGCAGGTGGGGTTGATAGAATCAAGTCGTAGAGAGCTTGACGCTTGTTGGAAGCATCGACATAGATGATGTCTTGCTTGATATTAGTGTGAGAACTACCAGCACGACCAACACGAATGCGAACATGGTCATGAGACAGATGTTCCTTGGCAATGGCACGAGCCATCTTTGGAAAAGTGGCAGAGAACATCATATAGTTGATATTGCCCTCTTCTTGGTCTATTTCAAAATTAGCAATATTCATGTGAAACCGGAAAGATCGAAGTACTTACCACCACCGCTCATAATTTGCTTCAACTCCTCATCCCAGCTGGAGTCCAACATCTCATCTGCCTCATCAATAACCATGTACTTAAGGCGCTTGAGAGTGAGAGCATTAGGACGGCGGATCATATCGCAAAGACGACCAGGGGTACCAATGAGAAGGTCACAGCCCTTGGCTAGTTGACCAAGTTGCTCTACAAGAGGACCGCCACCATAAACGACGCAAGGTCGAAGCATACTACGGTAGCAGAAGCGACGAGCCTCATCAAAGATCTGAGTTGCTAGCTCACGACTGGGACAGACAACGACGACCAATGGCTCAGCTCTGACATAGTTGTCACGATCTGGCATATAAGTGGCTGGGTTTGGACGAGGGGCAGCAAGCTTCTTGGCCTTACCCATCAGCTTTGACAAGATTGGAATCAAGAAAGCCGCAGTCTTGCCGGAGCCTGTGAACATGGAAAGTCAGTAAATAGCTCAATGCTTTGGAGAATGATAATTACTCACCAGTTTGAGCACAAGCAACTACATCATGATCTTTCTTGACTGCTGGAAGGCAGTACTGTTGGATCGGGGTTGGAACATGATAACCGGCCACTAAAATAGCAGAGAGTCAATATTAACTATCAAGAGAAGGTTTCTGGGGGAACTTACATTTGATGTTTTCCAACATGACTGGGTGAAGACCTGCATCCTCAAATCTGCGGATGGGATCAATCTTGACAGTCCCCTCTTGTGTGACCTTAAGGGTGGTAATGCTAGAAAATAATGTTAGCACAATATCATATAATAAGGAATGAAGTTGAATACCTCTCAAAGTTGAGACCCTGGCGAACATGGTTGTTTTTATTGCCGAACAATTGATCCTCCAGATCGGGGAATCTAGGACCAACATCACCATATTCTTCGTTCCACTCATAGACAGCACCACTTGAGGCCCATTCTCCAGGACCAAGACCGCCAACGGCAAGTGTCTCTGGCTCTGCATCTTCAACTGCATCAGCTACTGGCTCAGCATCACCCTCGGCATCATCTGCAATGGCAGCACGGGCTTCT